GCACGATCTTCTCGTCCACCCGACGATCACGCACATCGATCACGTCCATTTTCCAACTGTGCGATCGCCGCCGACTGAACCCCATCCAACGCCGCATCTGAACGTCGCCGCGGATCCATCCCGCGTCGACCTACGCCGACGACATCTACACCGCGGCCCTCGTCTTCCACGTCGCCGCCGTCTTCCATCTAACCCTCGTCTTGCACGTCGCCGTCGGACGGCTTGTCGGCTGCGACTGACCGCGCTGTCGCCCGCACGCCGCGGATCCGGCCCTGCGTCGACCTACGTCGGCGACGTCTACACCGCAGCCCTCGTCTTCCACGTCACCGCCGTCTTCCATCTAACCCTCGTGTTGCACGTCGCCGCTGTCTACTCCGCGGCCGAAGGTTTGCCATCTAATCTCCTCGTCTAAACGTAACATGCTAGTTGATATTAGTCACACATAGTGATCTAGGGTTTATGGTTGAGTAAACATGCCGTCGCAGCGGCGCCTCCCCGGACAACCGCATGTAGTAGGCAGATAGAGATGCACTTGGGCATGATCCACAGTAGAAACTTAACACGTGATGAATTCACAATGTTATGCAGTTTGGTCAGTTAGGCGTGTTGCCATGGATGAACAAACCGCATTGACGGGGGATGATAATGGTACTAATAAGGCGACTCGGAATGATAACGATATTTTTAATGAGGATGATGACAGCAGCGACAACGATTCCGTGTCGTCATTTGATATCTTGCCTCCGGTGGATTTTGATCATAATGAACATGGCGCAAATAGTGAAAACGTAAGTGCCGTATATTTTGATTTCATATTTGAACCTGCAATGTATGGTCTGGCTAACTATTTCTCTATGTGTAAAAATTTGCAGGAAGATGTGGACGTTGACAATGTGGAAAATAGTTTACAGGAATCATTTGCGGATAACTTGAGCCAGGTTCGTAGACAGATGTTGTACATCAATGAATATTGTGAATTAAATGATAGTAATTAACATATACATTTTCATATGAATTTTGTAGGAGGAGTCAGATGGTATTAGCGCTGATCACGATGAGGGAGAGATCGACATTGAGGAGGCTCGAAGGCAGCAGCAAATGGTGGATACATATTGGAAGGTGATGGCTATGACCTTTCGGTCGCAAGGTGATGCATACATATTCTATAACAATCACGCCAGAGAGAACGGGTTTAGCATCAGAAAACAGAAGGTCAAACGAGGTGCTTCAGGAATGATACGGTACCGGAGATTTCTTTGCTCCAGGGCAGGTAGAAGGCAGAGCAAGTTTATAACCATGGAGGGCCGCAAGCGCAGGCTTAGACTGGAGACTCGTTGCGATTGCGGTGCACATATGGTGGTGAAGCTGGACAGAGAACGTGGTGTTTGGTTCGTCGCGTCATTCGTGGATGATCACAACAACGCGATGGCTAGGCCCGACGAGGTTTGTTTTCTGTGGTCTCACAGACGGATTGGAGAAGGCACGAGGGCAGAGATATTGGCATTGGAAGCTGCCGGGATAAGAAAGCATATAATAATGGACAACTTTATCAGCAGATA